TTGCTTAGTTTTTATCAGTTGTTCAAATCCATAGTTCTCTATCCTGAGTTCTAGGGGAATGTGTCCGTATTATCTTCAGCCATGTTCCCAAAAGCTTACACTGGCATGAAAACCTGACTAGAATGTACATAATTTAATGGTCTCGGAACCTCGATGTCTTTGTTCACTATTAGTCTTCGCATCACAAGCAAGGATACGGAGCTCGGCAGTGGTCCATGAATACTAGGCAGTCGCTCTAGAACGGCACATGACATTATATGCTGCAAGGCAGATCCAAAGTTCACTGACTTCTCAAGATTCCTTTCAAAATAGCTGTATTTCGTTGATTAATAAACCGTATATTCCTCTACCGATCAGTCTGTTAAGTGGGGGGTTGGGCCTGCTAGAAAAGGTACTTTAATGACACTTAAAAACAGATAATGGTAGTGGGCTCATGTATGTGTATCGAGCTTATTTCAAAAGAACGGTTGCGGATGATGGGTAGTGACACATGTTTACTTTTCGACTACTGAGACGCGTGTGCTGTTTATTTGCCTTAGACAAGGAGTTCTTACATAAAACTACTCATTTAAAATTTTTTAAATTTTAAAACATTGCCCTCCTTAGTGCAGTGAAAGTAAAGGATTTTAAATTCGAATTGTCTTTTGTTCGTTTCGGGACCTTAGTCTGCCGCATATTCGAAGAATTCGTCATAAAAAATTATGCAGCTCGTCATGCTGTGGTGTTGTAGCTCAGTACGAGTTTGTTAGCATCCACTGTTCACCCATTCTTTTTCCTTCTCCCTCACCCATTCACCATTTCTTTTCTTTTGGGTCCTGTGGCTTTTTTCATCCTTTTTTCCCTTTATTTGCTTCACCCTTCCTCCATCTCGTTGAGCTTATCGTAGGTTTTCATGAGAAATCCTGCCACGGGTGTTTGGCGAGCAGACAATGTTGCCTGTTTCTATTTTGCAAGTCGGTTAAGCACTCATAACTAACATACATGTGTTATGGCAGCTGATATCACCCGAAACCTTAAGGCACTTGGTTGGTTGGTAGCCCATGTTGGATCAGGGGTTCCCGCCGG